CCCAGTCCCACTCAAGTCTGTGGACCGATGCCAGCCAGAGCCCCCCCCCCCCCACACACACACACACTCATGTGGCCGAAGGGGACTCGGTAGGTCACAGGCCGCCGGGTACAGAGTGGCATGGGTCCAAGGCCAGTGGGAACACTGCAGGACACCCACAGCTCAGAGGCTGGCTCCCAGGGCCAGCGTCCCAGAGGCAGCCCGAGTCCCAGCCAGAATGAAGGTGCAGGGCAGGAAAGGGAGAGACGTTCCCAGTGTCTATAAAAAGGTGGCACCTCCCAAGAGTGGGGTGGGGGGGACATCACCAGGCTGTGACCTGGTCAGTAAGTTGGACTCCACCCCTACACTTCCACACAGATGCAAGTTGACGTAAAATCTAACTGGCGCGCTACCCGGCCCCAGGGACTCCCTGATGCCTTTCCGTCTTCATAGATTGGGTCTCTGGAAACCCCATGGAATTGGATCATGTAGTATGTGGTCTTTGTGTCTGTCTGCCTTCACAGCGCACGGTGCTTATGAGGGTTCTGCATACTGTAGCACGGATAATCGGTACTTTGTCCCTTTTTATTGCCTAATAGCACCCCGCGTATGGATATGCCACATGCCATATTTTTCTTTATTATTTACCAGCTGATAAGACATTTGCATGATTACATCCCCCACCTTTTTTTTCTATTTTGAATAATGCTGGCAGGGAATTTTGTATACAAGTCTTTATGTGGACGTATGTTTTCATTCCTCTTGGGATACATCTAGGGCGGGCATTGCCGTGTCAGATGACGACTCTCGAACTTCTTAAGATACTCGTGCCCACCCTGACCACCCTATGTCTTGGTAGCTTGGATAGTACCCAGATCCTTATGGACAGCTCTTGTCTCAGTCGATTGGTGTCCTACGACCAGGGGCTCTGTACAAGGCTCGACCCAGACGAGCTGTCTGGCTTTGTAAGCATCCCCTCCCAGAAGGTATTCAAGTTTGGTGCATCTAGAGGAGGGAGGCATATTTACTGCCGTCGATGGTACCCTACCTATGAAGACGGTAAGTCAGACGTAGCTGAGCCTTCAAAACCAGTGTGGCCATCACCTCCTGACCCTTCAGATGCTGCGTTCAGGCTGAAGTAAGAGCTGTGTCTTAAACAGAGAAGCTCTGTGCGGCAGAATGTTTGGTCTTCCTTCAGAACCCTCAGGGTCTGTGTGCAAGCCCCTTGTGAGGCGGCCTAGAGACCCCATGCAGCATCCCTGTCCCCTCTGAGCACGCCCAGCTCAGCTCACACCCGGCCTGGCTTTCTGCAGAGCCTCTGCTGGCTCTGCTCCTCTGAAAGCACCCCTTTCCTAGTTACAGCGAACAACGTGCCGCCTTCAGAGCCTGGGAGCCCCTCCAACGCGGTTTCTTTTTCGCAGGTATTGAGACGAGGTGTGGTGGGGGAGGTGCCTCAACCTGTCTTTTACTTTAGGGCAGTGGTTCTCAACCTTCCTCATGCCACGACCCTTTCATACAGTTCCTCGTGGTGGTGACCCCCAACCTTAACACTTTTCGTGGCTACTTCATCACTCATTTTCCTACTGTTATGAATCAGGCGACCCCCGTGAAAGGGTCATTCGACCCCCCAAAAGGGTCGCGTCCTACAGGCTGAGAACCGCTGCTTTAGGGGATGTTCCAGCATGCCCAAGGCCCTGGACTACAGACTGGGATGTATTCACCCTCGGGCCCAGGTGCCTCTCTGGGGGCATCTCCGGTGCTTGTCACATCCCACTTTTCTCCCAAAGCCCAAGATGCTTGACGTGATGT